GAGGGGAGGAGAGGAGAGGAGAGGAGAGGAGAGCAGGAGGGGAGGGGAAAGAAACTCAGAGCATCATGGGGCCCCCAGCAGCCTAGGCCTATAGCAGCATAACTAAGGGAGGGCTCAGGGTCACCTGATCCAGCCCTAACTATAAGCTTTATCAAAAAGGAACGTCTTAAGTCTAATCTTAAAGGTAGAGAGGGTGTCCGCCTCCCGAACTGAGACTGGGAGTTGGTTCCATAGGAGAGGAGCTTGATAGCTAAAGGCTCTGCCTCCCATTCTGCTTCTGTGGACTCTAGGAACCACAAGTAAACCTGCACTCTGAGAGTGAAGTGCTCTGTTAGGATGATAAGGCTCTACGAGGTCTTTAAGATACGATGGAGCCTTGTCATTAAGGGCTTTGTATGTTAGGAGAAGGATTTTAAATTCTATTCTGAATTTTACAGGGAGCCAGTGGAGAGAAGCTAATATGGGAGAGATATGATCTCTCTTGCTAGTTCCTGTCAGTACTCTGGCTGCAGCATTTTGGATTAACTGGAGGCTTTTTAGGGAATTATTGGGACATCCTGATAGTAAAGAGTTACAGTAGTCCAGCCTGGAGGTAACAAATGCATGGACCAGTTTTTCAGCATCACTTTGAGACAGGATGCTCCTGATTTTTGCAATATTGCGCAGGTGACAGCAGGCAGATCTAGAGACTTGGTTTATGTGTGATTTAAAGGACATATTCTGATCAAAGATGACTCACAGGTTCCTCACAGTAGTACTGGAGGCAAGAGCTATGTCATCTAAAGTAACTATATGATTAGACAGCAGATTTCTAAGGTTTTCAGGCCCAAGCACAATAACTTCAGTTTTGTCAGAGTTTAGAAGTAAGAAGTTGCAGGTCATCCAGGCCTTTATGTCTTTAAGACATGCTTGAAGTTTGACCAGCTGACCTGATTCATTTGGCTTCATAGATAAATATAACTGAGTATCATCTGCATAGCAATGGAAATTTATGTTGTGCTTCCTGATAATATTGCCTAAAGGGAGCATGTATAAAGTGAAGAGTATTGGACCTAACACAGAGCCCTGTGGAACGCTGTGACTAACGTCAGTTTGTGTGGAACATTTGTCATTGACATGAACAAATTGAAATCTTTCTGATAAATAAGATTTGAACCAACTTAGTGCAGTTCCTTTAATCCCAATAACATGTTCAAGTCTCTGCAGTAAGATGCTGTGATCAATGGTGTCAAAAGCAGTATGGAGACAAGTCCTTTGTCTGAGGCTAGGAGAAGATCATTGGTGACTTTCACCAGTGCGGTTTCTGTACTATGATGGACTCTAAATCCTGACTGAAAATCCTCAAACAAATCATTCTTGTGCAAGTGGTCACATAACTGCTTTGCTACAGCTTTTTCAAGGATTTTGGAAATAAATGGGCGATTGGATATTGGTCTATAATTAGCTAGGACACCTGGGTCAAGAGTAGGCTTTTTGAGTAGAGGTTTAATTACTGCAAGTTTAAAAGCCTGTGGAACATAACCTGTTAATAGAGAGAGGTTAATCAGATCTAGTATGGATGTGTTGATTAGGGGAAAGACGTCTTTGGGCAGCCTGGTCGGGATGGGGTCCAGGAGACATGTTGATGATTTAGATGAAGCAATTGTTGAGGTCAACTCAGAGTGATCTATAGGGGAGAAGTAAGCCATGCTGGACTTTCTTATCAAACCAATCTCTGTGGAGTGCTGGTTGACATGGACACAGTAAATATAGCTGGGAACACTTTAGCAACAGTGCTAGAGGTGCAGCTTTGTGTGATCTGTATGTTCTGCATTTTAGGCATTTAGCTAATTCCAAAAGGGAGTATAGAAATATTCAGTAATATTGAGCATTAATTCAGGACATTAGGTTACAAGGAAGAGCCAGAAACATAGTCATGTTTAGCTATAGATTTTACAGGGTTGCTGTGTTGGAAGGAGAAGATATTAACCTTGTAATTTATGCACTCAGGTCTAATCTAGTGAACAGGTGAATATAAGTCACTTTGGCCCCTGAAGGGATGCTGTGTGTTAGCAGAAGTGCCCGTGATCAGTTCCAGGGTCAGAACAATGCCTGTCTTTTCGTGTTTGTGCAGGAGACCTTAGCTAACTTCTGTAGCAGAGGCTGGATTGTAATGACCAGGAAACCAGCCTGAATTGCTTTGTTGGGAGAAAAGTGAAAGGAACAGAGTGGTGAATGGTTTCAAGTGTTTGTCTTGTGCACTTTTAACTTCCTTCAATTCAACAATGAGCAGACAAAATAATATTTGCCTTTTTAATTGTTTAGAAGAGTAGTGAAATGTTCCTTATGTTGGCCTGAAATGCTTCTATTAAAAACGATACATCCACTGGACTGAATTGCGTGATTTTTAAAATTCAGACATTCACTTATGATGCCCTACTTGTATGCCGTTTTACTCACTTGATGAATGTTTGGAAGAGTCGGCTCAGGCTTCAAACTGTCTATAAATAACATGTCTTATCTTGACTGTCTGATAAACAGTATGTCTGGCTCCAAAGTATCATTATGAACACGTTTGACTGCAGTAAGGAGTTTTAATTTAAGATTTCACTCAGGTTCACTGGACCACCTGTGTTGTTGTTCTTTTGAGTTGCCCTTTTGTTTGCTTTGGGCGCCCCGACAGCCAAATGGTTACAGTGTGTGCACGACATGAGCACTTCGAGGCCACCCATTGATATGTGCCGCAGGCCTCCCCCGTCTCTATCCTCGTCTCCCTTGTTTCCTGTCTGCCTCTCCACCACTCACTGACTAATAAAGGCAAAATTCTGCCTGAAAAGTAACTTGAATATGTGTGACTTTTATCATGCTTTGCTTTCACTGATGTTTTCTTCACACAGTACGATCTCTCTTTTATCATGATGGTCTTGACTGTGTTTTTTTTTCCTTTCCTTCAGGTTTTAGTCACCATCTACTGGTTGGGTCGTGCTGCCAACGGCTGTACCTCGTACAACGGGCCCACGCTGGACCTGAAAGAGTTTGAGGGCCTGCTGTCACAGATGCGAAAGGTTTGTGGAGTCGCATTTGGCAATATGAAAGTAAAAATAAAAATCTATACTACAGGGACAATGCTGTAAGTAGTTGTGTTGTTGTACACTGTATAACAAATCTCCCAGCAGCCACAGCTGGTGGAATGCAGTAAATGTTTCTGCTGAATTATGTGACACACTGAATGAGTGTGTCTGTTAAATGTAGTCAGATTTGTCAGATATCAGGCTGCATATCGGGTCCAGGGATGACCTCCCTTAATTTGGGCCTGAGTGCAAATAATCTGGGCCCGTGTCCCACTCTTTTACTGACCCAAAGGGAAATGATAGCATTAGCTAGCTCCCAAGACACACACACACACACTTTGACAACCACTCATAACCATGATGTCACCACCATGCAATTTATTCCACAATGTGACACCCCTTTGCTTTTGTAAGAAACCACTGCCAACTCACTGCAAAATCTTTTTCCCAGATGTCCACACGATGCAGCTGTACCAAAACGGTCATCTTTCCATGAAATCAAAGAACATCGGTTGCATGCATTCAGCACTTCCCAGTTCACTTCTGATGGTTTTTAAAATGGACCTCACACAAATAATGATTGAAAAGCAAGAAGCATGGGAGCATATGGCCAGCTGCACTTTTATCTGCTGACCCATTGTAAATGGCTTTGTAAAGTTCACCAGTATAAGGATTGTTTACCCAAATTAGAATGAAAAATGTCTTAGAACTGTTTTGGTTGTCTGCCAAAGTTTTCAGATATCAGTCCCTGAAATTTCTTACAAGCTAGCCAGATTAAAAAAAACAACTAAACATCAGAGTTGTATATGTGCAAATTGAGTAGGTACAGTATAGTCAAGAACAATTCAGTTTGGTTTGATAAAATGAAAACTGAAATGAATAAAAACCTAAAAGAGATAAATCATCTCATGGCAGTAAAAATCATAATAAGAGGGTTTTGGGAGTTGAATACCAGATGGTACATTGGTCAGGAACAGGAAGTCTTAGACAGGAAAGGGCTTTCCCCACCTTCCATTAGCTGCCTAGACATGTTTCAACAGGCAAAGGGAAAGGTCACTGAGGTGAAGAGAGAGTGATATTATAGAGGGAGACAGAGGAAATGATGGCGAGATGTTTGCAGTGGACATGGACTGAGTGGCCACTGATGAGCAGATTATTAAATATTTGGGCACTTTGGTTATTTTCAGTACTTAACACCAAATGTTTTGTGTCTCAGTTTTGTATACATGCATTTTACACACCTCTGTGCATTGTCTATAACTAGGGTGTGTGTGTGTGTACCAATGTTTAGGAGACAGAGGACGCCGAGAGCCCTAAACGCAGCATCCGGGAC